ACATTTGGGAGAAACCCTGGAATTCCCAAATCCTGAAAAAATTTGGGAATTGCGGAGTTTTCCCCAAAAATTCCCATTTTCAGTGGCTTCAATAAAGGGAATTTGAGGAGTTTTGGTGGCTTCGAGTTGGAGTTTTGGGGAATTTTGGGAGGAATTTTGGGGATTTATCCCAAGTTTTGGAGGATTTGGATATTTGGGAGATGTCCCTGAACACCCTGAGGCCCAGAATTCCCAAACAAATCCTGGAATTCCCTGGGAAAAATCCTGGAATTCGCCCCGAAAAATTCCCGCCATTTTTGGCGGTTTCAATAAACGGAATTGGAGGAGTTTTGGTGTTTTGGTGTTGATTTTTTGGGGGGTTTTTGAGGGTTTATTTCAATTTTTTTAGGATGTGAATATTTGGGAGATGCCCCTGAATTCCCAGATCCTGAAAAAATTTGGGAATTGCGGAGTTTTCCCCAAAAATTCCCATTTTCAGTCACTTCATAAAACGGAATTTGAGGAGTTTTGGTGGCTTCGAGTTGGAGTTTTGGGGAATTTTGGGAGGAATTTTGGGGATTTATCCCAATTTTTGGAGGATTTGGATATTTGGGAGATGTCCCTGAACACCCTGAGGCCCAGAATTCCCAAAAATATCCTGGAATTCCCTGGGAAAAATCCTGGAATTCTCCCCGAAAAATTCCCGCGATTTTTGGCGGTTTCAATAAACGGAATTGGAGGAGTTTTGGTGTTTTGTGTTGATTTTTTGGGGGGATTTTTGAGGGTTTATTCTGAATTTTTGGGGGTTTGTTTATTGGGAGATGCCCTGGAATTCCCAAATCCTGAAAAAATCCCGGAATTGCGGAGTTTTCCCCAAAAATTCCCATTTTCAGTGGCTTCAATAAAGGGAATTTGAGGAGTTTTGGTGGCTCTGAGTTGGATTTTTGGGGATTTTGGGAGGAATTATCCTAATTTTTTGTCGTTTTTAGTTCACTTTTTCCCTTTTTTGGCCATTTTTAACACACTTTACCCCATTTTATATCCCTTTTATCCCATTTTTGGTCATTTTCAACACATTTTACCCAATTTTTGGCCATTTTTAATTAAATCCATCCCATTTTTTGTCATTTTTAATCCACTTTATCCCATTTTTGGCCATTTTTAACCTACTTTACCCATTTTTAATCAATTTAATCCCATTTTTTACCATTTTAAACCCATTTAATCCCATTTTAAATCAATTTAATCCCATTTTTGTAATTTTAATTTCACTTTACCCCATTTTTGATAATTTTTAACCCATTTAATCCCATTTTTAATCAATTTAATCCCATTTTTTGTCATTTTTAATCCACTTTATCCCATTTTTGGCCATTTTTAACCTACTTTACCCATTTTTAATCAATTTAATCCCATTTTTTACCATTTTAAACCCATTTAATCCCATTTTTAATCAATTTAATCCCATTTTTGGTCACTTTTTGGTCACTTTAATGACAGAAATTCACATTTTTTACACAGCACGATAACACTGAGAGCTGGGGGGGAGCCCCCGTTTTGGGGCGGATTTGGGGGATTTTGGGGAGGATTTTTGGGGGGAATTTGGGGGATTTTGGGTCATTCCAGGGACTGCAGCATCAGCAGCTGCTTCAGCACCTTGGTCTGGCTCGTCTCCCGGATCTCCCCGGCCAGGAACATCTCATCCACCACCGTGTACACCTAAAAATGGGGGAAAAAAGCAAAATTTAGGCAAAATCTGCAAAAAACAGCAAAAAACGGCAAAAAAATCCGCAAAAATCACACAAAAATGTCCTGAAATGACCCAAAAATGCCTAAAAATGACCCAAAATCAGCCCAAAACCCATCAGGAACATCTCATCCACCACCGTGTACACCTAAAAATGGGGGGAAAAAGCAAAATTTAGGTAAAAATCAGCAAAAAAAAGCAAAAAACGGCAAAAAAATCAGCAAAAATCAGCCCAAAAAAATTGGTCAAAAATCAGCAAAAAACGGCAAAAAAATCTGCAAA